TTTTTTTTTCAGATAATATTCGGCTTCTTTCAAAACAAAGTTGCAACACTTGAAATTGATCGTGCCGTGTAAACTAATGATGACAATTTTTTCACTCTTATGTTTTAGGCATTTTGCATGCAAAATAACTCGACTGTCGAAATAACTGTGATTTTCTTTTCTAAATTGGGTTTATGAATGAAAAAGTGATTTTGTATTAAATTGTATGAAGAATAAATAAAATCTTCATCAGAACCATGCGAGAAGATATTAGTATCACCAACCAGATGGCGACACAGAAAACATTCAATTTAGTACATCTGTTAAAAAGCACGAAAAGGCTTAAGGTACTTTATGTTCGTATTTATAAATTCTTCTATATCGCTAATGCTTTTAGAATCAATGGATGACAGAGTAGTTTCGCATTCAAATCCAGCACTTATTATGATTTTTTCTAAATTTTCCGGTAGTTTTTCGCCGAATTTCTTTATTAATATCTAAAAAAGCACTTTTCAAATCAGAGGATCTCGAATCGGGCAGAAGATCCCGAAATTTCAGTCTCTGAAATAAATCGCATATAGAAAATTGGACTCGGAAATTAGAAGATAATCTTCTAATTTCAGGGGCCGCAATGCTTTGAAAATGCCTCTTTCAATTTCGGAAGGATTCAAATTTCTGAATGTGAATGTTCTAATTTCTGAGGGTCTACTGTATATATAGTAGGATGGTTTTTTTTCGCACTCTTTCGAAATCCACATGTGGCGATTTATTTTCATAGGAGGTTGGCCGCAAAAATAAGCCCTGTAAATTTTTAACAATTACATTGGTACTATTTGGAAATTAATTAAAAGTAGTTTTGGTATGGGCGCGAAGATGCATCAATCTAATTTCTATTTTCTGTTTCTTTTTTCAGGTTGTTCAGAATGCTGTGCGTCAATTACAACATTGCGTGACAGAACGCAGTGCAATCGAGGTTGTTGAAATATTTCATCAAGAGCAACGGAAAAACGGCGCTGGCGGCTACTGTAAGAATGCTAATAAACGGCTCTCACTTGAAATGGCATATCAACGCAGAGCAGAAACCATTTTACAAGATGAAAATTGTTTCAAAGTGTACATAGTAAGTGTGAATGAATTGAATTTCTCATAGTAATTCTTAATTCCTAATGGCAATATAAATATTACCATTTTAGTACAAACTCGACTGTAGAATAACGATAGAGTTACTTGATACCGAAAGTGATGATAATGAAAAAAATGCACAAAATGCTAAGACATGGGATAACTACGTTGATCGCCTCACCAATCCTGTGTCTGCTAATACGAATGATCTTACAAATCAAAGTAGTGTCCCGATCGCAAGATCAGCTAGTGATGAAACATCGTTAACGATAAAGGAAGAAAAGATGGATGATGATCTGGTGAGTAAAAAATACTTTCGTATACATACTTTCGTTTACTATCTTCAAGATTTTCTGATTGATATTAATTTTAGTTTTGGCATTTTTACCTATTTTTGCTAAAATATATTATACTGGCCGACACGGTAGGTACTTTGGCAGGGACACAGCTCCCAGCAGAATAACTTAACGTTACATGAATTATTATTATTAAAATCGAAAAATCAAAATTAAACTAAAATGTTGCTGCGTTCTACTGCGTCTCAACCACGTATGTATTGAACCCATTGAAGTGTATTTGGAGCCCACGATCCATCTCGAATATATCGGGAGTGTATCCAAACGACCTGAAATCACAAACAAAAATGTGTAATAACAACATTTTCTGTTGCCTTTGTATAAGATGCATTTTGCAGCCACTGTATCACGATGCCAAACTGTTTTAAGTCCTGTTGGACGCTGATTCGACGCATTGCTCTGTCGTAAATAGGCCTCCGCATCTTCGAATGCGTTAGATCTTCGACGTATGTGGCTTCATCTTCTTCTTGTGCAGCAGCATTCTCCGTTTCAACGTCTGATTCAATGATTGATCGTCAGTTTTTCCGGTATACTTAACTTTAGCGAATTGGCGAATTTGGTGAAACCTCTACGGCGCCCATGAAGAAAATGGTTGGCTTACGATTCATCAATCGAACGACCAGCCCATTAATCTTCTCCATATCGAAATAATGTGCCCAATTCTCATGACGGTGCGCATAGAAATCATTCTGTTCCATTTTCTTCTCATCGTCTGCAATCGATTAGTTAGTGAGAGCTAACATCAATTTCGTGTCGATCGGTATGTATTTCAGTTGAAATGAATTCATTGGAACCACTGCGAAATTTCTAACACTCGGTGGATGAAATGCACTTGGCTGCGGTATCATACGATTTCGTTTGTGTTGCGCTCAAGTCCACAGTGTCATTGTGCTACTGTTCAACAACGCATTGAATGCGACAAAACATGTATAACGATTGAAACCAATGAGTTGTAACGAAATCAAACATGTAATTGTTTGCTGGACCACCAATTTCTCGGAATTGCTTCAGGAAATATTCGTACAACAATTCCTAGTCAGAATCAGGGCATTTTCATCCAATTTTCGTGTTTGTTCTTTTTTGTATCGACATCATTTTCAGACGCCAGTTTGATCGCTTTTTCACCGTCCTGTTCGAAATAGTCGGTATCGACGCCATCGATCTTGTAGTCCGTTGCACGATTCACTTGATACAAAAAAAGTAATGAAGCGAGATTTGTGATTATGGTGGCTTTTTCAAAAATTCCTGTGAAAAAATCTACAATGTACTCTCTCTCTTCTTCATCAAAACTGTTATTGAGCAATGAATTCAATGTGCACTTGCGTGCAATGACGGTAATACCTTTGTCCTAATCGATTTCAATATATTTCCTATTTTTCGCCATTTTCGCAAACCGGTGAGATCACAGTACTTCAGAAAATCGTTTGAGAATCAATCTAATGAGAATAGAGAGAAACGATTTAATTGGTTAGAAAATTGAAATGAAATATTTCACTTTTTTTTAAATAAATATGTCAACACAACAAAGCCAACAGTTTTCAAATTGAACTTACTCGAAGAACTCTGTGATACAAATGTTGCGGACAGCAGTCGATTAGCATTTGCGTCGTGTAGCTGTCACTAAAGTAGTGTGTGCAATATCGCCATGTCGTTGCGAAATTCAAATCAATGCTAATGATCTGTCATTTGATACAAACTGAACCGATGCGAAATCGGTTTTGTTGTGTCAAACTGATCCCATGACAACAGTGAAGTGATGTTGTCAAATAAACACCATGCGAAATGCTGATTCTGCATTTTTCTCATTGCTCTGTCGAATACAGTTACAGTCATGGAAATTTTAGGACCGGCATTGAAATTTCAGTTTTTTCCCATTAATTCTGTTATTTTAGAAAAAAATATTCATGAAATGATGTTTATGAGAATATTTGAAGTTTTTATAAATGGACTAGACTATCAATTTCATTATTTTCGGTAATTGATATCATTTATTGATGAAATTTCCCAAAAACTGCGGGAAAAATAATTAAGACCTTCCATACAAAAAATGACAAAATTTTTCGAAAAATCGGAAAATTTATCATTTGTTTGACAAAATTCACTCCACCGATGGTCGTATTTAATTGAAATACATTTTTCCACATAACCATTTAATAGATTTCAAATTTCTTAACAAATTCGAAAAGTTACAGACCAAACTAAACTTTATAGCATTTTTTGTATGAAAAATCGTGGAAGAATCATAGTTTATTTTTCCCGCAGCTTTTGGGCAGTTTCATCAATAAATGATATCCATTACCGAAAATAATGAAATTTATAGTCTAGTCCATTTATAAAAACTTCAAATATTCTCATAAACATCATTTCATGAATATTTTTTTCTAAAATAACAGAATTAATGGGAAAAAACTGAAATTTCAATGCCGGTCCTAAAATTTCCATGACTGTAACTGTATTCGACAGAGCAATGAGAAAAATGCAGAATCAGCATTTCGCATGGTGTTTATTTGACAACATCACTTCACTGTTGTCATGGGATCAGTTTGACACAACAAAACCGATTTCGCATCGGTTCAGTTTGTATCAAATGACAGATCATTAGCATTGATTTGAATTTCGCAACGACATGGCGATATTGCACACACTACTTTAGTGACAGCTACACGACGCAAATGCTAATCGACTGCTGTCCGCAACATTTGTATCACAGAGTTCTTCGAGTAAGTTCAATTTGAAAACTGTTGGCTTTGTTGTGTTGACATATTTATTTAAAAAAAAGTGAAATATTTCATTTCAATTTTCTAACCAATTAAATCGTTTCTCTCTATTCTCATTAGATTGATTCTCAAACGATTTTCTGAAGTACTGTGATCTCACCGGTTTGCGAAAATGGCGAAAAATAGGAAATATATTGAAATCGATTAGGACAAAGGTATTACCGTCATTGCACGCAAGTGCACATTGAATTCATTGCTCAATAACAGTTTTGATGAAGAAGAGAGAGAGTACATTGTAGATTTTTTCACAGGAATTTTTGAAAAAGCCACCATAATCACAAATCTCGCTTCATTACTTTTTTTGTATCAAGTGAATCGTGCAACGGACTACAAGATCGATGGCGTCGATACCGACTATTTCGAACAGGACGGTGAAAAAGCGATCAAACTGGCGTCTGAAAATGATGTCGATACAAAAAAGAACAAACACGAAAATTGGATGAAAATGCCCTGATTCTGACTAGGAATTGTTGTACGAATATTTCCTGAAGCAATTCCGAGAAATTGGTGGTCCAGCAAACAATTACATGTTTGATTTCGTTACAACTCATTGGTTTCAATCGTTATACATGTTTTGTCGCATTCAATGCGTTGTTGAACAGTAGCACAATGACACTGTGGACTTGAGCGCAACACAAACGAAATCGTATGATACCGCAGCCAAGTGCATTTCATCCACCGAGTGTTAGAAATTTCGCAGTGGTTCCAATGAATTCATTTCAACTGAAATACATACCGATCGACACGAAATTGATGTTAGCTCTCACTAACTAATCGATTGCAGACGATGAGAAGAAAATGGAACAGAATGATTTCTATGCGCACCGTCATGAGAATTGGGCACATTATTTCGATATGGAGAAGATTAATGGGCTGGTCGTTCGATTGATGAATCGTAAGCCAACCATTTTCTTCATGGGCGCCGTAGAGGTTTCACCAAATTCGCCAATTCGCTAAAGTTAAGTATACCGGAAAAACTGACGATCAATCATTGAATCAGACGTTGAAACGGAGAATGCTGCTGCACAAGAAGAAGATGAAGCCACATACGTCGAAGATCTAACGCATTCGAAGATGCGGAGGCCTATTTACGACAGAGCAATGCGTCGAATCAGCGTCCAACAGGACTTAAAACAGTTTGGCATCGTGATACAGTGGCTGCAAAATGCATCTTATACAAAGGCAACAGAAAATGTTGTTATTACACATTTTTGTTTGTGATTTCAGGTCGTTTGGATACACTCCCGATATATTCGAGATGGATCGTGGGCTCCAAATACACTTCAATGGGTTCAATACATACGTGGTTGAGACGCAGTAGAACGCAGCAACATTTTAGTTTAATTTTGATTTTTCGATTTTAATAATAATAATTCATGTAACGTTAAGTTATTCTGCTGGGAGCTGTGTCCCTGCCAAAGTACCTACCGTGTCGGCCAGTATAATATATTTTAGCAAAAATAGGTAAAAATGCCAAAACTAAAATTAATATCAATCAGAAAATCTTGAAGATAGTAAACGAAAGTATGTATACGAAAGTATTTTTTACTCACCAGATCATCATCCATCTTTTCTTCCTTTATCGTTAACGATGTTTCATCACTAGCTGATCTTGCGATCGGGACACTACTTTGATTTGTAAGATCATTCGTATTAGCAGACACAGGATTGGTGAGGCGATCAACGTAGTTATCCCATGTCTTAGCATTTTGTGCATTTTTTTCATTATCATCACTTTCGGTATCAAGTAACTCTATCGTTATTCTACAGTCGAGTTTGTACTAAAATGGTAATATTTATATTGCCATTAGGAATTAAGAATTACTATGAGAAATTCAATTCATTCACACTTACTATGTACACTTTGAAACAATTTTCATCTTGTAAAATGGTTTCTGCTCTGCGTTGATATGCCATTTCAAGTGAGAGCCGTTTATTAGCATTCTTACAGTAGCCGCCAGCGCCGTTTTTCCGTTGCTCTTGATGAAATATTTCAACAACCTCGATTGCACTGCGTTCTGTCACGCAATGTTGTAATTGACGCACAGCATTCTGAACAACCTGAAAAAAGAAACAGAAAATAGAAATTAGATTGATGCATCTTCGCGCCCATACCAAAACTACTTTTAATTAATTTCCAAATAGTACCAATGTAATTGTTAAAAATTTACAGGGCTTATTTTTGCGGCCAACCTCCTATGAAAATAAATCGCCACATGTGGATTTCGAAAGAGTGCGAAAAAAAACCATCCTACTATATATACAGTAGACCCTCAGAAATTAGAACATTCACATTCAGAAATTTGAATCCTTCCGAAATTGAAAGAGGCATTTTCAAAGCATTGCGGCCCCTGAAATTAGAAGATTATCTTCTAATTTCCGAGTCCAATTTTCTATATGCGATTTATTTCAGAGACTGAAATTTCGGGATCTTCTGCCCGATTCGAGATCCTCTGATTTGAAAAGTGCTTTTTTAGATATTAATAAAGAAATTCGGCGAAAAACTACCGGAAAATTTAGAAAAAATCATAATAAGTGCTGGATTTGAATGCGAAACTACTCTGTCATCCATTGATTCTAAAAGCATTAGCGATATAGAAGAATTTATAAATACGAACATAAAGTACCTTAAGCCTTTTCGTGCTTTTTAACAGATGTACTAAATTGAATGTTTTCTGTGTCGCCATCTGGTTGGTGATACTAATATCTTCTCGCATGGTTCTGATGAAGATTTTATTTATTCTTCATACAATTTAATACAAAATCACTTTTTCATTCATAAACCCAATTTAGAAAAGAAAATCACAGTTATTTCGACAGTCGAGTTATTTTGCATGCAAAATGCCTAAAACATAAGAGTGAAAAAATTGTCATCATTAGTTTACACGGCACGATCAATTTCAAGTGTTGCAACTTTGTTTTGAAAGAAGCCGAATATTATCTGAAAAAAAAAACACTAGTATACTAATTTTATATACAAAGTAATAAATGGCAAATCATTCTTTTGTCTCTTTGTGGACATTAATTTCGAAGGGCTTGCGACGCCTGAAATACGGCCATATTTTCAAATATTTCTATATTTCAGTCATATTCCTTCATATTTCAAATATTTGGAATATTTGATATATTTAAGGCATATTTTGACGTTTTTTGGTATTACCCGATATTATTTTGACTATATCTATATGTAATATTTCTCTCAATTTTCAAATATATGAAATATTTGAAATATAGCCAAATATGTCAAACATACGAAATATCAAGATGCATTTTGTAAACAAATAATGCTTCAATATTTGAAATATTTGGCATATTTGAATATATTTGAAGATATTTCATATACATTTGTTCGTCGCAAGCCCTTCGATTAATTCCCACATTTTCGACAATTTTCAAATGGTATGATTTCGAAAGTGGATATTATGTTAGTTTTCCCAAATAAAAATTCAAAAAATAAAATATTGACTGTTTTTAAATGTTTGCTATGAATGTCATTTTCAGAGCGTAAAGTTTGACGGATACCATTGATGACGTTAGGGTGTGTTCAATGTCGGTATTGAACAATGAAATGTACTAAACACGTGATTGTAGAATAATGAGTTGTGTGAAAAAATTCACTCCAATGTGTTCAAAACGCATAAATACGGCATCGCATAAGGCAGTTATCGCATAATTATCGCGCGATAATTTTCTGCTTGCGTTGCTGCAGAATACGATATTTCAATAGCCGTCGTCTTGCGACGCTCGCTTGCGTTTGCTTCGTTATATGTGTAAAGTAATACGAACGTGCGTCGTAAGACGACGGCTATTGAAATATCGTATTCTGCGGCAACGCAAGCAGAAAATTATCGCGCGATAATCATGCGATAACTGCCTTATGCGATACCGTATTTATGCGTTTTGGACACATTGATTCACTCTTTATCGAAAATGTAGGAAATAATGTCCACAAAGAGACAAAAGAATGATTTGCCATTTATTATTTTGTATATAAAATTAGTATACTAGTGTTTTTTTTTTCAGATAATATTCGGCTTCTTGTAAAACAAAGTTTCAACACTTGAAATTGGTCGTGCCGTGTAAACTTGATGATGACAATTTTTTCACTCTTATGTTTTAGGCATTTTGCATGCAAAATAACTCGACTGTCGAAATAACTGTGATTTTCTTTTCTAAATTGGGTTTATGAATGAAAAAGTGATTTTGTATTAAATTGTATAAAGAATAAATAAAATCTTCATCAGAACCATGCGAGAAGATATTAGTATCACCAACCAGATGACGACATAGAAAACATTCAATTTAGTACATCTGTCAAAAGGCACGATTCTTTGCTCTAGCCGGCTTAAAACTCTTTATTTGAAAGATACGGCATACGAATATTGTCTGGCAAATAATTCAGTGTTTAAGTTCAAACCGAGACATCGAGCATTAATTTTGTCAATACCGAAAGTATTGAATCCTCCACCAAAAATAAAAAACAAAACAAAAATCAGTGTAATCCAGTATTTTCATACGAAGTATTTTTGAGTTTTTCTAAATTTTCGTTTAAAAAACGCACTTATTTCCAGAATTATATTAACCCTCTAATGCATACAACCGCCTCTAGACGGGCACATCGGATCACATTGCTTCAAAGATAATTTTTATTCGTCAATATTCTCTCTTTATTTTTGTCTTTGGCAATATTTGTCTATGTAGTGTGATTGTGAAGTTATAAACAAAAATGTGTGCAAAAACAAAAATTTGACAAAATAAATTATTCGAACTTCAAATTAGACACATTTTTGACACTTTTAATACAAAATCACGTTGAAATACAAAATCAAGTTGAATGGATTTGATTGTTCTATGATTTATGTCAATCGCATTTCCTGACTAAACCATGAGGAATCCAGGATTATTAATATTTTTTTAATTATCTATGGCCAAAAATCAACCAATCACCAGTACTCCTGGGAAAAATTAATGCATTACAGGGTTAAATTAGCCTGTTTACCATTTTAACGACTTGAATTTGCACTATTTTGACGAGTGTTTTGAATAATGTCGTTTAATTGTAGTTGCATTCGTGCATTCGCAATGCTACTCATTTGAATAGCACACTCATTTGCAGTGCCATTCGTAATCATTCGCAAACATTCGTGAATGCAAATACAAGCATTCACGAATGTTTGCATTCGCATTCGCACGCATTCGTATCATTTGCAAATGTTGGTATCTAAATGCACGTACTAGCATTCGCTCATTCGCAAAACTGACACCATTCGCAGTTCGTGAATTCCACCTGGGAATGAACATATTTTCATTATTTTATCACTCAAGAACGTTATACACTAACAAAACAAACTCTATTTGGCTGACATTTGAACTGTCAAACAGTAAACAACACTTTTTTCCGCTCCGTAAAATTCTAAATTTTATTTACTATTATTTACTGTTTATATTATTATTTTTTGTGATTAACTCAATTGAAATGAAATTTTGAATGATAATTTCATCGAAAACATTGAAGTTTTAGTGATTAACTCGGGTTTAATTGCAAAATAATACAAGACAATAAACATAACCAACGATACGGTGAATACCTCTGAAAACATTGAAGTTCAGTGAATTTTTTTGAAAAGAAAGTCACAATCAATCGTGAAAAAAAACACAAACATACAACTATACATTCACCGCTTTATTTTGTTGATGCTTTTTTTTTTCTTGTGAGTTGAAATCATGTCTGCCGAAATACATAACTGTGTTGCCAATAAATGCACGGGATCGGATTTTGATGGTGAATATTTGCAATGTTTTTCTTGCCATGAGAAGTGCTACATTCAATGCCTCAGTAAATGTGAAGCCACAAAGAGACTATTCACTAGATTCAGCCTGTTCGATGATCGCGGACAACCGGTAGCCGAAAATGCTAAGCACACTATACAACGATTGAAAGTATACTTCTCGATATCATCAGCGATATCAATTACATGCGCAACGTGCAAGAATTATTTTGCGGAGATGAAAAAACAGAATGACACCTTGAAGACGGAGATCAGAAACAAAACCGATGAAATATCACGCCTATCCGCTGAATTGGATAGCCTCAATGGTCAATTGGATAACCTCAAAAAAGCCATTGAACAATTGGAAGCAAAACAAACGCCACAAACAGAAGAAAATAAACAGAATGGTGACACTGACACTCAAATGAATGCTGATCGGAAAATTTTGGCAGATGCAATGAAGAAACTTGGTGAAAAAATAACGATATCTATCCAAAGTGAAATTGAAACAATTGTCGAATCAATCCAAACCTTTGAAACGGTTTCACATTCACCCGATGCAGTTGTTTACTCTATCCACTTATCAAAATTTCCGTTGAGTACCACACCCGAAGATATCGTTG